GTACTTACCTTTGTATGAATTGCGTTCTCTTTCCGGTTGTTTTGGCTCAACGGCAAAGAAGCCATCTCTGAAGCTGTTTCACGGTGCATTCTTATGGTTTTCTCGAGATAAAATTGCCTCAGGCACATTTTCTTCTTTCAGCTTCACATTTTCATGTTCTTTGTCCTTTCAATTCCACCTTCCGTTTTGCTATGTTGAGCTGTTTTAACCCAGCATTCCACTTCGTGTTGTCGCGTCCCCCCCAAATAATCCCATAAATGCGCGCGCGCCTAGTTTGGGTCCCAGGCTATCACTCTTTTCGGAAGTGAGCTATTCTCAGCTTGCGCCTTAACCATAATACATCTTGGTTGCACCACCGACCAAATAAATTGCGTAACCTTCGTTAATTATATTTTCCCCAAGTATTACAGCCGTAACAAGAGGAATCGAAGGCAATATAATGCAAAATGTTGGTGGGGGAGCAAGCAATGTGAATTATGGGAAATGCGCAAGTTTTTTCGGGTTTTATAGCCCTTTGACCTTACATTTACTTTTAACATGAATACTATCAACTTTTCTTTAAGGTCCTAAATTTCTTGAGCTTGAAATCATGCCCTTTTGAAGGCATCAACCATCTGCTGCAAAGCTTTGAGAACTTCTTCTGTTGTCGGTTCGCCATCAAAGCATCTTTCGTTTAAACCAATTTGCTCAATCGAGGGAACATCATTTACTTTGAAACCTCCCTTTTTCAGGAAAAACCCCTGAAGGTCACAAACCTGGAAGTATTTCCCTCTTAGCATGTAATCTCTGATCTTGACCAAATCACGAGCGGTGCTTTTCAGGTCGCCAGTCGTGTACGTAATCACCTCAGCAACCAGCTGACCCACCTTGTTTGCAACAATACTATCTCGAATGTGCTGGAATTCGCCAATATCACGCGACACCCATTTCTCCAGAAAACCACTGCATTCGAAGCTCTTCTCCTCGCCACATTTTACACCTGTGATGATGCACTTGTTCGGATTTGGAGAAAGATCCACTGTATTGATGCCTGCTTGCATGATTGTGACAAGATTTCTGACTTCGTTTTCAATTACTTCTAGGCAAGATGCGACTCCGTCAGGTTTCACCTTTTTACAAACCAAAAAACCAATTGAAGTTATTCCGTTGATGCGGCAAGCAAGTTTTTCCTCACCTCCTCCCGCTATTTCTTTGCAAAAACTGTTGTAATTGATGTTGGGTTTTGCCTTTTCAATCTTGTTATAAGCATTAGTGAAATCATCTGCATATGCCACTGACGAGAACACAGCCAAAGTTGTGGCCACCAGGGCGAAACAAACTTTGTACATTTCCATAGCTGCGAAAGGAAATGAAGTGGGGTATGACCAAAACTGAATATTTTCCGGGGGGCACTCCCTTATAGCTCCTTATATAAGCCATATAGGCATGTGCCGCTCCAAAAAGAATGGTTTTTGCGCCGCGTCGATCTGGAAATGGGTATAGACTTCGCTCATTTTGGTCTGGAATGGTTTTCAATAGATCTACGGGGGTGTTTGAACCTTTTTTGTCATTTCAATTCCAAATGAATAAGAAAGAAAGAGAAATATGCAAATTCGAAATGGCCAAGTAAGAAAATTCAATTTTTTTGATTAGCTAGATTGTGAGTGAATGAGGTGAGTGTTGTCATCTGCTCGCGCTCTGGCGTGTGCAATTCATTCTTTGCAAAGTCTTTAGTTATGTTCAAATAATTATTTTCACTAAAGAAGTAGTTTTCCGTCTCAATATAACTTGTAAAACTATCTTTACCTTACCTTTTAAGACTTTTTAAAACTCTCTCTCTCGAAGACTTTTGAAGAGGGTAAAAAAAATTCTCGCGCAGAAGTTGGTGCGTACTGCTTTGAGGTCTTAGCGCGCGCTATGATAATTAAATTCAAATTAACTGTCGCGTTGAATTTGATGTTAAAAAGAGCAAAAACAACAACAAATCAGTTGGTTCATAAACCAAGTTTTGCTAGAAAAGACTTCACGGCTCTATCAAATTCGTTGTTTAATACGTCGAAAATTGAAGATTTATTTCGAGCATGAGCTCTCTCATCGTCTGTCTGACATTCCTGAGAGGTAATCACGTGTACAAATCGGATTTGACCAGGCCCCAGTTGTTCAAACGTTGGATAACGCTATCCAATAGATAAATCTCAGCCTCGTTCCCAGTCGTCCTTTTGATTTCGGATTTGACGTCACCTGTCAAGCTTGTCGGGAAAATTCGCCCTATCGCACTCGGTTCCAAGCGTCCTCTGGTAATTCGGGTAGCGCCAACTGGCCTGGGTACGAGGCTGGATAAATCTTTATCCCGCAGCTGATAACACAATTGGTCTACTTATCCGGTGGGTAGTAATTTATCCCGTAGATAGCATTGCCCAACGTTTGAACAACCGTGCCCAGATCTAACCTTCGGCTTCGTCAAAAAGAGATCTGAGTACGAGATAAAAAATGACGACATTAAATCCCCTGAAGACGGACGGCTTGTCCGTCCGAAATATCGGGAAACCTCAAGTCGCTTTTCTCTTTGTTGTTTTGTTATCCGATGTCATTATTTTAGTTATTTGTGTCCTTGATTGCAGTTTTAAATTTTTACAGTTGATGCAGATAGCACGAGTCACTTTTGTTTACTATAGAATCGAATATGAACTTGACCTATCACACCGTGATGCGATCCTGTTACAAACCTGGTAAAATATTTTCCAGTGCTCGGTGGGACCGCAGACCTAAGGGACTGAAGGCACCAAGATCGGCTCATAGTTTCTACCCCTGCATTTTATTTTTACTCAGCACTTCGTCCTCGCTCTGAAAGTTTCGCTTTTCGAATGCCTCGTCCGAAGGGCGATAATGGTTGTTTACTATTTACATTAAGTTTCCGGAAAATACGGTTGGAAAGTAAATGAAATACTACTTATTGCGTCTTTCCAGCGCAAAATATCCGGGAGCAAAGTAACATCTGAAAAGGTAGTCCTGTTTTTCCGGACGGAATAGTCCAAACCAAAAATAGTGTTCAAATTTTCTTCAATGACTTCTTTGATACCAGTTCAGGCTACCTCGTACCCAGACGTCTCTCTCTCGATGAAAATGTACGCGCAAAGGAAGGCGGGAAGGAGACAACGTCTGTACCCTTGCCATGGTCCCTTACGGTTCATCACCAGTCACTCGCGTTTCGCGCTCAACTCTACGATGCGAAAAACGAAGCACCTGAGGAGGAGGCTGAGTTTTAGGTCTTCGTGGTCTATTTTCGGTTAATGGAAGTGATTTGTACAAATGGTAAACGTGATAACGGGAAGAAATTTAAATTTATTAGCCCAGAATTTTGCGTGCCATTTGCCCAAACCGTGGACCAACCGGTTTGCCGATGTAAATTGTAAACAACCAATATATTTTACCAGGTCGCATGACGGTTGATCAGTCAAGTTCATATTCGACTCTACAGTAAACAGAGGCGAATCACACTATCTGTTTGAACTGTAAAATTTTAAAACTACATTCACTGCAATCTGCGCCCTGTGAATGCTGGTGTAGAAACAAAAACGCTTTCCCTTTTCTTCTGTTTGGTACCAATTTATGGCAGTTTATCTTAATGTTAAAAACTCCAATTGCAGATATGCTTGGAATCCATAAACAAGAAAATTTATTACCGCATACATAATATCTCATCACTGCTGATCACTGTAGTTTCCCGGCGGTGTTACAGAGCTTATCATTGATTACCAGTAAAGTATATGTGAGTTTCACGTCCCTATTCGTTCTTTTCCAAGCCCTTTGTTGGTCGTGCCGAGCGAAAATAAAGTCTCCAAACCTCGCCTGCTCAGTTCTCTTCTTGCCCTCTCCGCGCTTATATTGACTGACTAAATGCATGAGAGCCTTTGTAGAACACGCAAATATGAATTTGCTTTCTGGTACAGAAATTTAGAGTCAGCCGTATATGAGTGGTATTTTTAAGGCTTTTAAAGAAAATATGTGAGAATTTTGTCTGTACGTACAGAACAGAGGTGACCTCATGGAGAGGCTTAAAGGCAGTCTCACCAGTTTCAGTTTTCAAACACTTGAAACATGTTTAGTAAACTTTCAAACGTTTAGTAAGCTATCATACTATACTGTTTAACTTTGAATAGTGAAAGTACATATAACGGCTAAAAAAGCTATAAAGCACTTTGCTTTCTCTTAGTTGACCGCGGTGAGTGCGAAGCTCATCTTGTATACAAGAAAACAAGTTTCCTCAAGTACAAACGATTTATAAATATTTACCTTGAGGCGTTCATCAACGTGACAAACTCACCGATCAAGCGTCAAATCAAGAGACTTCAGGAAGCTTCAAGCTCACCCACTGAAAATATATCTCGTACCGTTGTTGCACAACACTCGCAACGTTTTTCAAGTGCTGAAGTTGGAAGTTCCTGTTTTTACTAAAACGAAAGTCACGATTGAGATATTCCGAGTTTTGGTCGAGGTGTCGAGCGCAAGTATCGGGTGAGCTGCGCGTGGTCTTAGCGGCTAATCTTAGCAGCATGCAGTAACATCTGCTCATGCGTCAAGCTACTTGTTGACGGGATATTTGTAATGGCGGAGAGCTGACCTGAAGCACTTTCAAGGGAGATTTTTTTGCATACCTACTCAACAGTTCGTAACGGCCAACCCACAAAAATGACCCTTGCTCGCCAACGAGCCCTCAGTAGCTCAATGGTTAGGGCATCCGATCTAGAACACGGAGTGTCGTGGGTTCGAATCTCATCTGGGGCTCAGATTTTTTCTGTGCTGTCTTATGGTTGACTCTTGACATCTCCCTTTATTTCCTTTAAAACAAAATGAGCTACATAAATCCTATATGGCTACGATTCTCGACTTGCGCCATGTCATTAATCCTCGAGAATAAAAGTGGAGGCAAAACAAATCAGATTCTCGTAACTATGCAATGGAAGTGGATACCAGCTATACAAGAAGCCATTTGCTAAAATCAGGAGTTGCACTCGTTTACATTGACTGGAAAACACAAACTTAAAGCCTAGACAAATTCGTTGAGCTCAGCCGCAGAACACACATTTGAAAAAAAGGGAAATATGGGAGTATTGCAGGTTATGAAACCCCTGGTACTGCCATCTGACAGTCTTTTTGTACGAGAGGAATTTTTAAAGATTTTAACTAACTATTATGTCACCAGAAATGATTAATCACCACCGGAGATTAGCACCAAATTTCATAGCAAAATCGTGTTTTATGGTTTCGTTTCGCCTTTCAATCATGGACTAATCTATCTAAATCCCAGGCTTCTAAATCAAATTTGAGGAAATTTCCCGAAATTAAGACAACTTATCACTAAACACAACAACAACAACAACTTTATTGACTTTATCTTCGACATGAAGATTTCAGTACCAGAACAGTCAATACAACGACAAATGAAACAAAGTAAAGTAAAAGTTAAGAAAGAAAGAAAGTAACAACGACTATATATTGAATATTATCATAAGGAAAAATTAGTTGGCTATGTACGCTTTACAACAATTTAGAATAAGACAAGAGGCACTAAGATTTATGATGTTTTCATCGCACATAGACATGATATATAAAAATAGTGCCTTGCAAGACATATTCGTAAAATTACTTTTTATCGAGTATAGGCTCTCCAAGAAGATACCCCTCATGTCAGAAAGTGATGAGTGAGTACATTTCAACAAACAGTGGAATTCATCACCAATTTCTGATCTATTACTAAGGGAACAAAGCCTCTCAACTCTGGGTATCTTCTTGTAGCGCCTAGATTCAATAGGTAGCAAGTGCCAAGTAAAGCCCGGGGGGGGAGGGGGGGGCGACTCCACATATGAAAGAGGTGGGGATGCTCGTCGGAAATTTTGAATTAAACCCCTAAAGGGAATCGATCTGGGCGTGGCCGAGGCTTTTTTTGATCCCTAAAAGAGACCATGTTAAAACACAGACAAATGAGAAAAATTGGATTATATGGAGTAAATAAAACGAATTAAAATATACATATCAAATCATATATTTTGATATTTTTTCGCGTGCAACCCTAAATGAGACCTTCACGGCTAAATATGATGGCGTTTTGCCCAGAACACCCTAAATGAGACCAAAATCCGAGACGCGAGACGAAGAGCATCCCCACCACTTTCATATGCGGAGTTTCCCCCGGGAAGTAAAGTAAATCTTCTCAGCTTTCTGTTCATGCTGTGTCTACTTCACCAGTTCCTTTATGTTAAAACATAACTAGCAACAATTACTGTAACAAAGTGGCTGCCAAAAAGAAGAAGATACGCGTTAAAATTGAGGCCTGAACGGCTAATACTTCTATTGCTTTTTGCCGAGGTGGGACTGAACTTGGAGATCATTTCATTCAGAGCGTCGATAACTTTCTTTGTGGTAGGTTCGCCGGTCCAGCAGGGGTCACTGATAGATACATTCTCTATAGCAGGAACATCAGCCACTAGAAAACCCCCTTTTACCAGGAAAAAACCCTGAAGATCGCAGATCTGGCGGTATTTATTCTTATTGGGGTCGATCATCATATAGTTCTTGATTTTTTTCAGGTCTGCAGCTGTGGTTGACAACCCGGTTGTAGTAGTAAAGTTTTTCACATCATTAATCAAGTTTGCGACTGTGTTACCGTCAATGTGATCTCTAACATGCTTGAATCGTCCAGTCTCGGATGTTATCCATTCCTCCAGAAAGCCGCTGCAGTTTAAACTCTGATCTTCACCGCACTTCACACCATCTATACGGGGTGTAGAAATCGTCACCGTTTTGATGTTGGCCGACCTGACTGTTTTAATGTTTTCGACCTCAGTTTTGATAACGTCGCTGCAAATCACTTCTTCAACTTTAGGCGTTTTGCAAACCAAAAAACCAATTGTTGGAACATCTTTGATGCGGCAAGCAACTTTGTCCTCTCCAGATTTCTTTTCCCCACAGAAGGTGTCGTAATAGCCCCTATGCATGATTACGTCAGACGAGTAAATTTCACCAACAAGCCTCGTTTGTGAACAAAATTTTTTGCATTTGCACTTTTTGTGCGTGGGTATTCTTTTCAACTCTACTGCCTTGGGAATTCATTTCTGTGAAACTTCGCTTATTTTTAATTTCAAAACGAGGCTTGTTGGTGAAATTTGCTTGTGTGACGTAAACATGCATAAGGGCTATTGATGTTCGGTTTTGTCTCATTGATCTTCTGACGAGCAGTAGCGAAGTCATCTGCATAAACTATCATTGAAACTTTCAGGGTCAACAAGCTGAAGTAAATTTTGAATAATTCCATTGCTGCAAATTCGAAAAAAAAATGTACTTCATATTAAAGAAGAGAAGTGAGGAGAGACTAGCCTGCGTGGCAGGCGTTAAAAGGGGAAGGGAAAGGGGAAATTTGGGCGCGCGAGAGCTCGTGGGGCTCCTTCCTCGCGCGTGGTCTCGCGCCCTAATTTCCTTCCCCTTCCCTTTAGAAGGCCTGCCACGTAGGCTAAGGAGAGACGGGCTGTTTTCGCTGGCTAACAGCCTACCTACTAAAGAGCTTTCTCCTAGAAAGCTAGACTGATGGCAGATAAAAATCCGTCGGATTCTTATCCCAGCGGGCGCGTTAGTAAAAAACCATGCAGCTGATTTAAAAAGGCATCGTCCCTCGTGTACATGCTTTACGCCTGCTTTCCCAAAACAAGAGTGCTTGCTGTTTACATGAAGGCTTGCCCAAATGCTAAGATCCTTTATCTGAACACCCGGCACAATTCATACTACGTTTCCACCGTAGTCAAACGTCTGAGAGATTTTTGGTTGGATGCAAAGCCTTAAGTGTAGAAACAGGGGAAGCCAACGAACACAAGTCACTTTCACTCTCTCAGTTACAAACGGCGCCGACTTGTTTCACCAGTTTCACATTCAAACACATGAAACGATTTAAAATTTTAGTAATTTAACTTGTGTGTGGCTCATGACTATATGCGGAAAGTAACACTGAACCTAAGCTTTGACGTACTTTGCTTTTAACTTATAAAAATTTGCCCGTTTTACCCTGTTGAATACGGAAGCTCGACGTGCCTTTGTCTGCAAACCGAAATATATTTCCTCAAGTGCTAACAGTTATCTATTTACCTTTGGTGTCGCGGGTGTCGGTTTTAGGTGTAAGGCGTTCTGCGACACGACAACTGCAACTTAAGCGTTAAGTCCAAGTTAAATCAAAAGTCTTCAGTAAGTTTCAAGTGCACTCCTCAAAAGATCTCTCGCGACGTTGTTACAGTGGCTCTGTCCGCATGTAACTATTTTAAAGCTGAGGTTATAAGGCCGTTTTCACAGTCACGGTCGAGAGCACACAGAGACTTCTTTCCGGAGATAAGGTAACGCCCAGGAAAAAAACAGTTTCCATTTCCTTGTTGAAGGACAAAGAAAAACAGGAAAATTTATTTAACAGCAAAACTGCGACATAACAAGAAAGTCTGATCACCAGGTTCACAGCAAAAAAATTGACTGAAAAATTACTTCAAAATAAAGTTTTATAACAGCAACAGTTTCATCAATGTCATCGATGAACAAGTATGGCCATAACTTGAAGTAAAAAGGTTACCATGTCAACAGCCTCATCACCTGTTGAAAACTGTGACCTTAGCTTAGCTTTTGGATTTGAAACTCAAAAACGGGTTTGGTTAACGGTCAGATTTAATTTATTTTTTAAAGCATTCATATTCAACTTTTCGTAAAGTTAAAAGAAAACAAATTGGGGGCCTGGTGATTAAACTGATTTCCAATTGCTGGTTTGCACGTGACGTCACGGCGGCCATGTTGGTGGTCAAGAACAAAAGCATTTCTCTCCTCTGGGAACTAAACTCTATTTTCATGTAAATTCTTCGAGGAAATATTCTTTTGTTTTGACCCCCAACATGGCCGCCTTGTCACGTGGTTGCAAACCAAGAATTTGCTGTTAATTTAGGGTGGATTCATTTGCAACATGTGCGTAAACTGTAGCTGTCGCATTTGCCTGCTGGAATTTTTCAGGGGCACCCAACGAGAATATAGTTCAAAACCACTTAACCATAGCATTGTTAAACGTATTTTAGTATTTAAACGGTGGATATAGGCATATTTTCATCCCCTAAAATTTTTTTATCTGTTCGGATTTCCTAGCTGAAAGTCTAGTGATCCGAAAATTATAGGGATCAGAACTTACCTTTTCGAAAATTTCAGCTAGAAAAAAGGTTCCCGAAAATTCTAGGTGACCTTTTAAGAGTAAAAATCCGTTAAAAATGGGAAATTATAGTAGTTTTTAGATGTTTGAAAATCCTAGCAGAGGCATGCAAGCAAACAATTTTACAACAAATGTTCCGAAAATTCTAGATCTCAAATCGTCTTCCGAACAGATATTTTCCGAAAATTGTCGTTGGGTGCTCCTGATTTTTTGTTTTTATAAATTAGACAAACTATTGCACTATTCTGGACTATTCTCACCAGATAAATAATTAGCTCATTGCAGTAGTATAACTCGAGATCGTGCATGCTTGTAGCGGTTGTAATGCTTTGCGCCCCTTGAATATAAATGTGGTCGCTTTGCCTCCTAGAACGTGTTCATTTCAACAGAGACTTTAAGATCAGTGGACGCGACGCGAGCGAAAATGTCTATCAAAAAGTGAATTTTCGTTCTTTCAGTCTTCATTGCGATTATTCCTACCAACTTGCTTTGTCAAAGGTAGGCGAAGTCTCCTGGAGTTGAATTCCTATGAACCATGTCCAGTTCAGAAAGGGAAATAAAATCGCTGCGTCGGTTGTTTAAGTGCTCCGTAGAGCATTAAATTAGGCATTTTGACGTCGTGGTCGTACAAAAACGGCAAGAAATACATAATAAGGTGTGATGCACGTGGAAAGTTGTTGTTTTGCTTATTAAACCTATTGTTTTTTGTTTTGTTTCTTTTTTTGAAGTTCTCGTTGCCATCTTGTCGTCGGATCTTAAAGTCTCTAATGATTGGTACTTCGAGACCATGGTCAATTTTCGCGACCCACCCACCTCCCCCTGGTGGCGGTTACCAACTTCAGTGCTATCCCGCTCTATTTTCGAATCCCCCATAATACACTCTGTTTGCCCCCCAAATTTTGCGAACAATGGACAACCTTTTTAATTTTCAATGGTCAAGAAATTCAGGGATTGTAAAGAACACTAATCACTTGCACCTCTGAAAACATTTAAAGGAAATCTATTGACGAATTTTGATTTTAGCGTTGTTTTGCACTGTAATTTACCCTGATGCATACACTTTCCTGTCTTTCGAAATCGCGTAAATCTACCTGCGTCTCGCGGTTTGGAGAATGTACAAGGGACATTAGTTAAAAGAATGAGTGTCAAAAACTTTCCAGAAACATCCAGCAAGTAGCAAATTTGATAGCGTTCATGTAGAAATTCCACGATATCTCGAAATCCCTCTTACAGATTTTTGTTAAACTTTGCACAGCAGAAGGCAAGCACCCAAAGTTTACGCAACGTAGAGCATTTCCAGAGAAAATGCGAATAAGGGCTGCAATTCGATTGAGAGCAAAGACAATTGTTATGTCATTGTCACGTGATATTCATTCCGATCGCGAAAAAACTATCATAATAAAGTTCACTCAAAATGATTCATGTGCCATAATGCATTTACAATAAAGACCAAGCTATTTGCATATAGGAAGTCCAAAGGTGAAAGGTATACCTTTAAAAATACTGGGTCGAGCCACCCTAAGTATCCTACTTATAAACAGTTCCTGCACTTAATTGGGAAACAAGGGTGTCGCAGCGGTGAGAGCACTCGCCTCTTACCAATGTGGCCTTGGTTCAAACCCCGGCGTAGACGCCATGTGGGTTCAGTTTGTTGCTGGTTCCGTCCTTTGCTCAGAGAGCTTTTTCCCCGGAATCTGTGGTTTAAACCTTCCTCAAAAACCAACATTTCCAAATTCCAGTTCTACCAGGAATCAGGTAGACGAAGAACCATTTTGTGGAAATGCTACCTCTAAATCGTTATTTATTTATTCATTCATTTATTTATTTATTTATTTAGATATTTGTAGGAGCAGCAAATATTGATAGTCTTCCGCGAGTAAGGGTGAGCAATTGACAAAATTAAAAGAAATGGACAAGTACACCGTTACAAAGTCCCTACAACTAAAAATCTGTCTATATTTTTAATAAAGAAACTCTCATAACATGTAAAGCTATGTACAACATTTTTTACTTAAAGTTAGTCTGTATCTCAAAGGACTTGTATGTGGGCTTTATAGATGGAAACTAAATTAGATCAAAGACTGTTCACACTAATCTGCTTCCCAAGGCCCGGTTGCACCGCGAAGCAACTTTAAATTAGGTGGGAGTTTTTACAGCCTTTTCGTGTGTTTCGAGTGATTTTCTCAAGCTCTCTTCGTTCTTCCAGTGTTAATCCATCTTCGGCCGTGTTATCGGTGATACCGTACTAGAAAGTCAGCTTGGCCGACGGTTTGGGGGTGTAAGGTATACAGACTTTTTTTTTACGTCATATATTTTTTTAAAAATGGGTATACGGTATCTTTCACATGATTTCAGGTGTGTGGCATACAACGTTTCTTTTAGGTTTGGATATATTGAGCAAAAATTGGGGAATTTTGGATAACAAAGGAAATAGTGGCAGAAAATTTGCCTCGTACCCAGGGTCTCTCTTCTTTCCGTCCCCTGAGAACCCTGGGAGCGAGGGTTCATCTGAAGAAGACCTTATTCATGATATACTCGCCATCTTTGCACGCGCTTTAGGATTGATGGGATAAAAGCAGTGTTACGTGGTATTTCAAGAGGCAAACAAATTATAAAATTTTCCAATACGACTGATCGCGGTCGCGTTCGTTCTCTCAACACAAGACGACGTTTTAGACTTGCTGTGAAGAAATCTAACGTCACTACTGCATTCAAAAAAGTAGCAATCATCACTTCCACCCATAATATACCATCATCGCCATTAAGATAAAAAGTTCCTCATTTTCTGTTGTCTAGAATAAACAAACTCGACAGCGATTTCTTCGACTGGCAGCTTTTATCACTTGTTTGCCCTCCGAGAAACCACGTGACATTGCTTTCATCCCATTAGTCCTTAGGCGCGTGCAAAGATGGCGGTTATTGGAAATTAGATCTGCCAGCGTTTAGCCTGTTCCAGGTGTTCAGATAGTAGAGCGCGGCGGTCAGTGGGGAGCGAGTTAAGTTGTACACCGGCAAAACGGGGGGGGGGACGAGGGGGGGCGAGAGCGAGAGTTCCCTCTCCCTTTCCCCCTCTAGTCCCCCCTCGTTTTTTTTTTTCTTCGTGAATTCTTCTCCCGCGCTCAACTATCTGAACGCCTGGAACAGGCTAGCCAGTGTTACATGCAGCCGTGCAGAGGTGTCAAGACTCTGGCGTAGCTCAAATCTGTAGGGTGATTGCCGTGGTGTCAGCGGGTTTGAACTACACTCCCGCCTGTTGAGCACAATGAGCTGAAAAGAAAGAATGAAACATGAAAAAATTACAATTTCTTTAGCCAACAGTGCCAATTATAAATATCAAGTTAGAAATAATTGTGGCAACATTAATTTGCATTTTTCTGGTACTGCTATTTGGAATAATGTGAAAGAAGTATTTGTTCCATAATGATGTGTACCTGGAATCTCAAAATTTCCAATCTTAGTTAACTGAGCTTTAAAATAATTATTACCAGACGTTTCAGTCCACAAAATCATAAGTTAAATCTAAAGATTACAATGGAACAACACCCAATGACCGTCCCGTTTTTGTAGCATCACCTGATTATTTAGAACACTTTTCTAAGGCCAACCGTAAAAAAACACTCAATCTCAGTAATTCTCTGGTCGTATTAACAAGACTTCATTTTACAAGTTGACGTCCCCATGACACGCTCAGTCGACAATGTGGTTAGTCTACCCTATTTCATTACTTTTGGTGTGTCCAAGAGCTTAATGCTCCTTACAGAAACTCCACCTTCACTTTCCCTAATTTACAATGGCTGTAGACCGAGCCTTGGAGCCATCTGAAATATCGATGCCCTTTAAACTCACCTAAAAACAGAGAAACATCATCTGTTCGATCAGCACTACGCAAACGTCCCGTGATCTCCTCATTGCGCACGATGGGAAGGAAAAGCTGGATGAACTCGGGTGAGTATGGAGGAGCAATCATTTCAAGAACCTGGGAAGAGAAAGTGCTTAAGTTGTATTAACCGGCCCCACCCCATCCTGCGGAGGGAGTGAGGCTAACATAGAGCGGATAGGTAAGATAAGAGATCCTGTGACAGAGCCCAACTACCCCTCCCTTAATCCAAAGTTGAAACTAACGTCTTAGGTAGGGGAAAATGTTAAATTAGGGGAGGGGTAGATGGGCTGTTTCCGACTGATCCGTGAAATCTACGCTGTGTCATTCGTACCTTATCATAAGACTCACCTCAGTAACAAAGTGCCTGATGAGCGAATTATCCGTGTTTTGCTTCTCCAAACAGCTGTTAATATAACTGATGACAGCAACCACATAACCTCTACTCAACAAATGTATCATTCGATCCAGAACTGTTTTCTTGAACTCGAGCTGGAAATGAAGTAAGCCGACACAGATTTAGTAACCTCTTGCAATACTTCGGGTACTAGGTCTTCAAGGACAGCCTACCCAGTAATCTCAGGCAGAAAAAAAATCATTTAGTCAATTTGAACGATAGCTCAGTCTTTCGTTTTAATAAACAACTTAATTTAAAAGAAACAAACGAATCAAAAGCTTCAAGTCCGCACTTGCGTTTTCGCATGGTTTACGACTGTTTGCAATATACCACTGAAAACGCACATTTGGTGAAAGGTTTTTGTTCTCAAGCTTATCTCGGAATTCGTGAGGTGGTGGCGTACAAGTAATAAAAAGGCTAGGCAGATTTAGCAACGAAATAACCGGCTACACCAATGGCAGTCTGAGAAAGCAGCCCACACTTCAAGACGCCACCACTAGTTTCCCCGCGAAATGATGTCCTAAGGACGAGCGCAGAAATTCCATACTGATGACGCGTCACTACCCAGATCTGGAAAGTGCTTCTGAATGGCCGACGCACAACCAATCAGAAGCACTACCCAAATCTGCGTAGTGCGTCATCAGTATGGAATTTCTGCGCCTGTTTCTCAGACGTCATTTCGTGAGGAAACTAGTGGTAGCGTAGCGAAAAAGCGGCTTTTTTCTCGGGCTAGACCAATGGCAGAATGGTGAATTGAGCACCGAAAGTCGCATTACGTTCTTTCCGTCGCTTCCACCTTCTCATTTGACGTTAAGGCTAATTCGGCCTATCTTTAGGCCAGTGACGAAAACCTATGTTGACGGTTGTTTTAAATGGCGCGCGCATTTCAGCTGCCGCGAGTGACCATTCAAAATGACGTCACAAACGAGGAATCAGCTTTGTCAGTCATGGATTAAAGCATATGGACTCACAGACAAGAAAGCGAAGCTTTTTCAGTCATGCTTTAGACTTTCTGTTCTTAACTCCTTTTGTCGCTTTCGCTGCCGGAGAGATTCTCGCTTTCCTTTTATGGAAACTTGCTGCCCGAACTTTGCAGAAATTCCGCTCTGCGGTAATTTGCAGTCTTCTCAGCGACAGCAATCGTAAGGATGAAACTGTTCACAATAACGCGACCAAGACTGCTGTAAATCATCAACCCAACGCGGACACAAACTATCACCTCCAACAAAACGCAACGTTGAAAATCGGATGTGTTACCGGGTCCTCTTGGCCTTTAGAGAATACAGAGTCTCCAGTCAGCGGCGAAAAGTCACAGGTCAAAAGAAATTATTTCAAGGGAGAGGTCACACAAAGCCAAAAAACAAAAGACGAGAAACAACCATGCCAGAAGCCTCGACTGTTTACAGCACAGTGGGTCACAAAAAACAAAGACATAAAAATGAGGAGTAACAAGACAAACGAGAAAGAGGGTGCATTGAATAGAAACCCCAAGATAAATTGCCCAAGTGTTGTTAAAAGCGAAAAGTTCCTGATTAATTCACATGACCGAGAACATCTTCGTGGAGAAGAGGATAGCAAAGACAGTCTACTTTTCGAGAGGAAGTTTAGAACTAAAGGTACAAGTAAGCGAAACTTTGACACGCCTATGGAATCAGTAAATTACATGAACACAAGTACTGATTTGCCACTTTACACAGTCTTCGATCACAGTGTTCAGAAAAATGCTATTGGATGCATGACAGTAAACAAATTGCTACCTGATTGGACAGGAATAACTGAAGAAAAATGCTACTCAGGTACGTGTGCAAACCCTTGCACAGAGGTACCATTTTTCACCACAGAGACACCAGCTATCACTTCAGAAACAACAGTAACTTCCTCACAAGTGAAAGAGAACGGTCCCGTGACGAAGACTTTAAACGGTAAAATTCGTGAAACAGAAGAAACGTTTCCATACAATCATAGCTTTTCATCGAAATCCCCTGGCATAGCCGTGAAAAGTTTTAAAATACCGGCAGACCAGGGTGCAGAACTGCAGAGCAACAACCTTGCAGATGCTCAAGGACAACCAGCAAAAATTACAAAAAGAGCAATGACGGCGGCAGAGGAAACTGATGTAGTCGAAGTTGCGGAAATATCATCAGAAACATCAGAAAAACCGTGTTACACAGAAGAAGAAAAAACAGACATCTATTCACACCGACTCCGCTCTCATTCAAGAATTGGACCTTCTGTAAGAGGTGACGTCACAGAAAAGCACAACCGATTAATAAGCAGCTTGGAAGCTCTGCAACAGATAAGGCAAAGCCCGGAAAACTCCAACTTTTCAGTTCCCCGGTGGGGAACTCCGAGAACAAACCACAAGAGAACGAGAGCGGCGAATTCCTCGAAATCAACACGGGAAAGATCTGTTAAACTAACGCAGCACTCCAGACTGCCTTTAGGTCGAGCGTCACAGAGAAAGGATTTGAGAAAAGAAAGAATACCTTTACTGTAACTTAGTTTAGTGCATGTGGAGATCACTTACGAGAGAATAGACACAACTGAAACTATTTCGTGCTTGTAGGTAATGGAATAATGAAATAACTTCTGAGGATGTAAGGCCGGTTTGATTTCCAACAAGCTCTCGTTTTGAACAACAGTATTGCCTAACTAGCCTCTCGAATGTTTCTTTTTCTATCTCTGCTGATCAACTTAAGTTGTACATAGTGAATAGAAAAATATGATTTCCTTTCGGCCACGCTAAATGAGAATCTACTAATATACAAGTATTAAATCAACTGTTCTTAGCACACCGAATGCTTCACTAACCTATACAAATTTTACACCGAAATTTTTGCCTGCGATCTGTAATAGTGCTGTGCAATAAGTAATTAAGGCTGTAATTATTGTTTTCTCGAGCAATCTGTAGCTAACTTTTTTGTGTTCCTAAAAAGTAGAAATCTAAAACTCAGCTTGAGGCCTTTGGTGAAAAAGAGGCACCGGTGATGATTTTGGCAATAATTCGCGGCTCTAAAGTACGTGCCACAACTTTAACAATGGTACTCGGCTTTGACAGAATTCTCAAGTTAAAAAACTTTGCCTCCAACAAGAATAATTTGACAACGACATTCTTCTTCAACTTTTCTGGTGAGAAAAACGTGCAATGAAGCTGTCTGGTTTTTTTTTTTTTAGCATACGCAAAAAAACCTTAAGTTAAATCTCGTCCTCGAAGTCGCGCTCATCCTAGAATCTAATATTTATGGTAATAAAAAAACTCATACCTCCACTAAAGTATCCAGCGGGGTGGGGGACTCAAACAGTCGGATCAGAACGTTAAGTACCAAGCGATGCTGAAGAACATGACAGGAACTGATCTGCAGGGAGTCAAAGAACAGGAAATGAGAATTAAGCTGTCTCTACCCGTTATCCCTCTCGCCTTAAATTCTTGCCCTTAGTCCTTTTGTTTAACTCTCAACGAGAACATCCACTGGGTCAAAAGAAGCCACACCCAAGATTGTGCTCTAGCAGAGCCCGGTGGCCCGTGGCGCCTAATTGTTATTCTCAGGGGACTAGAAAATCTCAGCTTTTTCATAGAAATCGTATGCTGGGCACACTGAATTTCACAAGTTCAGAGCACTAGGCTCCCTTCAATTTTTTTTAAGAGCACAGCCTTGCACACCACTGTTCGAAAAGAGTAGGGGACGTGAACTGCGGTGGTGTGGCCAACCTTTCCTGGTGTGGATGGGTTATCTGTAAGGAGAGATCTTAATATAGGGATAAACTCATGAAACTCCTTCAGGTGTCGTAATAGCTACGTGTAAACAGTGTATATGAAGAGGAGTTTCATGGGATGGTGGCAGATGAAGAAAGAGGAAAGGAAAAGTGATACTGTTTCGATATAGTTTTGATAGTCTCCTCTTTGGGCTCGTCACACAACATGGGTTGTGGCGGATTGCGTGACGAGCCATTTTAGCCTTTTAAACAGAATGAAAGTGAAGTAAAAAAAGTGAAAAGCTTTATTCAAACACGTGACATTGATGAACCTAAAAAAATAGGACTCGTCACAAAAATGTACTTGAAGTGTCTAACCACTACCACGTTACTTATAATAGTGTCTCATGCTAAGGATGATTAAAAAAAAAAACTAAAAAAAAAAATCAAAGTACGATCAAACTGCGGTAATAATCAAGACAAGAGGATATGAGGATTAATGGAATGGTCACCTAAGGGAAAATGCTTTGATCTTTCAACAAATTCTCTCAACTAGTTCTTTAAGGAAATGAATGGAGATCAGTCTGGAGAATTTACATGTCAATATTGGGGCTTAGAGCATTAAGCGGACACTTTTTCTGTTGCTAAGGACGTACACGTAAGTAAGGTTCGACTGCAACAAGGAAGGAAAAAGCTTTGCCCAATTCCCACTCTACCAAAATACACCTTACCTCATCCAGTAAAGCCAAGTGGACTGGTGTTGAGTCAGTGAGAAGCTTGAAGAATGATGGGTCAGACACGGTACAGTCTACCCACTTTAACAAACCCATGGCCACCACAGGAAACCTACAAAACGGCACTTGTTAAATGAAAGCTATTTTGACCTTCTCACTAACAGTCAAGCTCAAAGTATGGCAAAATCCTCAAACTGCTCCACTTAACCCATTCACTCTACAAACATCTGCAGAAAAACGCCGTTTGAAGCCAGTCAAGCTATTTTTGGTCAATTTCCCACTTTATAGCCAAAGAGAACCACAGATGCCTCACATGTTGTTCACAAATTACTGAATACGCTAGCTTTTGTCCCTCCTTTCGAAGTTCGAGCAGGTGTAGAGAAAATTTCAATTTGTCCAATTTGAACCAAAAGTGACGATCGCCCCTTGACTTTTGCCTTATGCTTTTCTTTCCTTTCCGCGTCTTTCGCTTTTTTTCTTTTTCTCAGGTTTTTTCTAGGCTTTATTTAAGCGTCAAGAGTTTCTCACGGAAACTCCAAGAACTGTGGAAATATTTTGAAGGAAGTAAAGGTGGTTAGTGGTTCAAACTCTCACTGAAATTTTTTCGGTCAACTTCACATGTTTTTTTTTCTTTTTTTTGCATTTTCTCGGATCTGTTTGACGGAGGATGCCTACCATTTACACAAACCACCCGGCTGGAAATCTTGTGCATAAAAATTAATCTATAAAATTCGACGAGGTGGGAGAACGACCTGATACAAAATACGTCTAAATTAGCTGAAGAGACTAAAAAGAGTAGAAAAATTTCATCGCCTGAAATTACAGCCCACATTTTCTGATGCTTCCCAAACGGAATGGCGCGTAACATTTGATTTTGCATCCGGGATTTCCGGTTTCCTTATAAAGTAAATGCTAAGAACCCTTCTTCCCCTGTACCAAATGCGTCAAAGTTGGCTTTGACTGCTACAACTTTTGACACGGTTCCACAAGGGCAGGTATGGGTAGCGTGTGTAGCTGGACGTTTTGCTGGAAGAATGGAGAAAAGTACAAGCAAGCCAGGAGGTTACCAGGAGGAGAATAGGGCGGTTGGGGAGAAAATGGTTTAATATAAACTTGTTCAAGGAATGGTCCTTGGGGTAACAAAATTTCAAATTTGCTAGCCAAGGAGGATCACCTTGTAGCACCTAGCAACAGCCCAGTGACTAGCGGTCCTATTATTTTACAAGGTCCAAATTGAACTTTTACTAGTTCTGAACAAGTAATGTAGACTACTATTATGTGGCATTTCATAAATTCTATTTCAGACTATCGAATGTGTAACGCAAGTGACAGCTTTTACCTTGAGTCAAAGTTACCTCGTGATAGTGAAAATTTTTCCTAATAGTTCTGCACAAGAGTGATTAGAGCAAAGGAGGTTGTAGTCATGCTGGTCAAAGAACTCTGTAACCGACTTGAGCTACTTTGTGTTATTATACTGTACCTTATACAATGGAACAGGACACCAACTTCAGCTAACAACTGTGAGCCTTTCTTGGTTTCCTGTACACATAATGAATGGATTTTGTCCAAAGCCTGAGAAGTCGTTTTAAGCTCATCTCTGTTGAGTGTTGCTCTTTCATTCTACAGAAGAAGGAAAACTCTTGGCATGTGAGAGGAAATGATTCTGTTACCAATAAAATATTTTTTAAATACCAGCAATATATTAGAGTATTATTTTAACAAGAGCTGCAAAGTGCAGAGAGCACTAGCGATGCGACTTAGGACTCTAATTCCAGGGGTGAAGAAAACACCTTTTAATTGAACAAACTATTAAAGCAGTGACAAGCATCGTCAAATGAAACATCTCCAAACTTCACAAAGCCGTCATTCCGCTGCTTAAATCCACGGAAACAGTAAAAATTTCTCATCTATATATTACTTAATCAAAACCGTTTTCAGCATAAATCGTTTGATGCCAAAATTGGTCTAAATTGACGTCTACAAATCATCCTATCCGGTGTACTGTTGCGCTGGGACCATCGACATGCTGTCAACTGAAGTTTTTTTTCTTCAAAAATGGAAAGGTCTATTACAGCTCACAGTAATTGATAATGAAGTGTCTGCATTAGCGATGTTGACTTTCTATGAGAATCGGTTGACTGGGAAAGAAATAATAAGTGTCCGTTGTCCGCATTAACAAGTGTCTGTATTAAGCGGGTTAAATTTAGAGAAAATTCAGGGGTTTTCCCCAGGGACAAAGCAAACTGTCCGTAATACAGAGATTTCCGTATTAAGCAGGTGTCCGTAAGGAGGGGTTCAACTGTATTTCTCTTTCTTGCTCCAAAAGGTTACAGTTTTCGTTTCTCCTCAAACACCAACATTTCTAAATTTCAATTTGATCTACATAACCTGCTAGCAAGCTCTGCGGGGCACTCTAGCTGGGGTGTTCCCCTCGTCCCTCCCCCACCCCAGGGAACCCCAAGGAGCCCCGCGAGAGCTTGCACCTTTATACATTCAAGATCTTGAGAGCTCTTAAGTGTTTCATGGCTAAACAATTCATTAAATTTATTACTTTTTACAAACAGACTACCTCGATCCATGTTTCATGGACAGATGCAGCATACGCCAGCAGGTAAACATATTTATACTTGTGCTCTGGATTCAAATGTTGGCCAGGCTTGAATAACGCTTCTAGAAGAAGCTCTAAAGAAATGAAAATAATACTTCCTTTAGTTACTGGTGAATGAGTATAAAAATTCAATGTTGAAAACAGCAGTTTTGAATTAATCTTCCCAGTTGCAGAGCCCCCATGTAATATAGTCAGGCACTCATTATTAAACCCTTTACAGTGGGACTACTCAAACTGGGACACTTAGAACAAGATTATGCAATCACAACACTTTTTTTTTTTGAAAATAAAACAGTCTCCATTCTTTTTGCTAAGGACCAATAAAATTCAAGCTTCAACTGTGCAACCGTTGAAAACTTTAAACTCTTTGAACTTACCTAAACCCTCAGGGAACAGCCCTCAAATTTATGAATGTTATTGGTCCGTTTGCAAAAACAAAACTTGAGAATCTTTTGTTTTAAAAAAACGTTGTGATTGGATAATCGTGTTTCAAGTGCCCTAGTTCGAGCAGTCGCGCTGTAATAGCTCATGAAGAAGAAACAGTTTACGGAAATCACTAAAAAAAAAAGCACTTTACTAGAGTGTCAATGTATTTAGCACGAAAGTACCAACAACAAAGTACTGACAATTGCTTAGATGTTGGATTGTTATTATCACCAAATCTTGCAAACTTTAGATTTGAATTTCATGTAGAATTATTGTGAATTTGTAAAGCTATATCGAACACTTCACACAGTGTTTCATACGATATTGAGACACCTCATAAAAACTAAGCTGCACCTCACTTTTCAACACATTTCTCCTTGTCTGGATATCGAATAATGAGATGCTTGAGTTTATTAACAGGGACCAGGCTCCATTATTGATATATTTCTACAAAGAATGTGAAATAAGAAATGCATTACCTAAAAACTGTGGCACCCTAATGAGTGCACAGGGAGGAGGTTGAGAACTGCTAAATAACTTGTACAGCTAAAGAACAGAAAAAAGTAATAAAAATAATGTATTCAAAATCAAGTAAAAAAAGGCTGAGAGTCAGTTATTTATATAAAGCTAAGTGAGCCCTTAACTAAGTTGCATTCCAAGTCATTTTTACTTTGTCAAATCCTAGTATATAGAGGCCATTCATTGTGAACAGTCAAGAGTATGCATATAGAGCAGTGGAAAAAAGCTTTCATCTACTTAAAACTAAATACGTATAGTGAGATCTGGGATTCCAATAAACTGATTGTTGTTAACCATAGTCTTAAAATAAACAGCCATGAGTGTTGTTGGGCAAATGAGGATAGGGTAGTCAAACATGTAAGGTGAGGTCCTAGCCGCAAGAAAACAGCCAACATCTCACAATGCCACCCCTGGTATGACATCTGGGGAATGAGCGCAGAAGTTCCACACTGATGACGAGTCACTATCCTTATCTGTATAGTGCTTCATTTTCTTCATCCAATCAGAAGCACAACCTAGAGTTGGGTAGTGATGCTTCATCAGTATTGAATTTCTGCACATGTTCCTCAGAGGTCATTTTACGGGGCAACCAGTGGCGGTGTCATAAGAATGTCTGCTGTTTGCTCAGGCTGGAGGGGGTTCCATCACTAAATCAAACTGCAAAGGCCAGGAAAAATAAATTCACAGCAAAACATTTTGGTCTGGCATAAGGGACAATACAGACAACTCACCACAGTGATATCCCCTGGGTTAAGAGAGTTTTTTCCAAGCATGGAAGAAAGGGCTGAATATGCTCTGGGATAAGCTGAAGCACCATTCAATGACAGGGTAATCTCTGTTACTTCATGACCACTGAAAATAAGAGATACATTTTCTTTACCAATTCAAGGATTGCTCAAGTATTGAAGTATACAGTTAGATCCATTTCTTCAAATAGTGTTAAAAAAACTGGATTCACTACAGTTCCACTGTCTAAACACTTGTGTATCTCTACTTAATGGTAGTATCTCTTTCTGCCATTATTAATACAATCTGCATGTCATGGAATTCATCGTGTGACTCAGTATGTGGCTAATTTTACAGAGTCTTATCTTTCATCAAACTGCATTTCCTCAGGAGGTCTGAATAACTGGATACTGCATTTTTTTTTTCAATCCATTGGGCAGTGATGTTAGTGAATCAATGTTTACACACAGTTCTTAAAACCTGAAAAATAAAATATTACCTTTCAACTGCTGTTTTTTGAAGTTCTTGACTAATTCTTATTAATTTATTGCCTCCATCTGTGTTTTGAGCAATGTGATTCAACAAGCACTGAGCATACAAGTATGTGTGTTGTCCATAGCAAACTTTTTTCTGAAAATAGAAGAAATAGTAAAAAGAAAAGGAAATTAAGCCCCCCTCTTAAATAAGCCGCCTCTCTCCAATAAGCCCAGCCCCCCCCCCCCTTTTTAGGGGAAGAAAGTTAATAAGCCCCCTCTCTTCTCCCCCTTATTAATCTTCACGAATAAACAATAGACTGTATTAATCAATCACAATTGTAAAACTTCGTGTGGACTGATCCAGGATGGTTCATTCCCCAAATGGAGGTTCAGAATAAATTGTTTTTGATCCTCTGGCAGCTGCATGACCTTCAACTTCTAGTACTTGAGCTTTTACACTTTGTATTCTAGTTCTTTATGGAAAACTGATACCATCAGTGATTGTATTTGTTAAATTAAATAAGCCCCCCACCTCTATTAAGCCCCTTATTAAATGTGTCTGAGATGGATAAGCTTTCCAGGGGCTTAATAGAGGATTTACGGTAGTCATGGTTTTTTTGCATCATATTACTCCATAATATGATTAAGTTTTTCCATAATATCAGATATTATGTGATGTCAAATTCAAATTCCATGCTTCCCAAGTTTCCTTCCCTACCCATTCCAACAACAATAACAGATAAAGTGCAGACACCAGAATGGTCACTGTCAGAGAGTGCTACATCTCTAGTGGATCTTTCATGTCCCAGGTGATTCAGTTCAGAGAGAAGTTGTAAGTCATGGCCTGCATGCAACTTGTAAACAATTATTAGATTCCGTTTTTGTGATATCCGGAATAAGACGAAATACGAGAAGAAGGGTGATAACACTTACCAAGACCTTGACAGGGCTAGACTGAATAATATCCAAACATTTCTGACCTGAACAAACTAAGGTACTAATATTAAACATGCCATAAACTTACAGAAAATTCTGGCAAGTTGTTTTCAAATGTCTGTTCTCCTTCCTCTAAGAAACTGCAAGCAGATGTTTTGAGGACACGTGAAAACACTTCAATCTGTTGACAAGCTGTTGATACACTGGTGATTTCTCCTTGATAACCAGCATCAGAAATCAGCTGGAAAAAATAGAAACATTCATTCCATTCTCACTACGTACAATACACACATGATATACAATGAGATATGGAGAGGTGAAAATGGTCACTGTCCAAAGGTGTGGACAGCAGTATATTCACATGCATTGAAGGCAGTGCACCAAATCATGCCTGGGGGAGGGGGGGGTGTGGGAGGGTGGATGGTGGGTTGCTGACCACCCTCTACGATGTTTTATACAAATGCGCACAATAGGAAGAATGGTGGTAATGTATACAATGCTAGGAATTGTGGGCTATCTTTTGTTATGAAATATTCTTGCTTTATTTCCAGCACTGAAAATAAATGCAATCAAATGAGGAGGTTCCAGGACCAAGAGGTTAGAGTGCTGGATTTACAGCTCCTTAGTTCGGCACATGTAATAAGAAAACTTTTGGAAAGATTAAGTAGTTTTTATTTGAAATATGAGACATTTTAATTAATGTGATAAGTGGGAAAATTTATCTTTTTCAATATCAAAAAAACATGCTAGCAGCCACGTATATCTGTTGAGCACTTAGTCTATTTTCCAATTTATGACACGGTATACAATCATGTACTGTGGATTTAAGACACAAATTCCAAACTGTTAGGTTTGTATTTAACAACAAATTTTTATCTATGGACGCATATCAATCACCCTAAAGAAGCAGCAAAGTTAGTTCATCTGTGATGCTTGCTATTATTTGCTTGCTATTATTTGTTCCATAAATTGGGAGATGTGGTATAGCCCTGATCAAGGTTCACTGTTGGTAGCCAAACATGAATGTTTATGGCCTCGCAAATCTTGTGCAAAATGAAGTGGTTTTCCTGGCCAATAATTTTTTTAACTACTAATACATCTTTTGTGTGTTAATCATCAAATTATTACCTTGATGGTAAAGTTAAGCATCAGGCAGTCAGGATGTTGTTCAGCTAGTTTATAAAACATAGATCTCCATGTCTGATGAACAATCATATCTTCTAACCAAGATGGAGTCTAATAAAATCATACCATGAGAATGGAACGTTAAAACAAAGTTAATCAGTCTTAATGGCTGTAAATAAAAACATTATTGTCATTGCTTGACTGGCAAAATTCATTTTCTATAAAATACAGTCAAAGATCTCGTTGCAACCACTCTTGTAAGCAACCAGCTCTAGTTATGACCACCTTTGTGAAACTCCATTTGAGCTGTGACATGAACTTTGTAATGAAAACTTCTCATAAGTGACCCCTCCCTTAAGCAACCGTGAACACTTTTGAGATTACCCAACTTGACTTTTCCTTTCTTTTTAAGCTCTGATAAGCAACTGCTGAGAGACTTATTCATATCAGTCAACACTTAAATGAAACTACAAATTGCGCTAATGGTTCGTTGATAAAGATCTTGGGTTATTTTGGTTTTGGAAATTAGACGTAAAGTTTAGCCATGCCTCAGAAATAAAGACACTCAATCATTTAACACTAACTGCTATTGTTTTTTTAATGAATTTTTGATGTGTTTCTGAAGCTCTCCTAAGCAATCCCCCTCTAATGTTTTACCATGCGGTCCCTTATGAGAGTTCTTCGCATAAGCAACCAGCTCTAGTTGTGACCACTTTTTCGAATTTCAGAGGTGGTTGCTTACAAGATCTTTGACTGTATAATAATAAATTAAAGGTAAAAAACATATAGTACAGGCCCCGGTTGTTCACATGTTGGATAGTGCTATGTACTGGATAAATCACTATCCAGTGGATAAGTATTAGGAAAACCAATTGCCTTATCTACTGGATAGAGTTTTACCCAGTGGATAGCGTTATCCACCTTTAGAACAACTGGGGCCAGGGGCCCGTTTCTCGAAAGTCCCGGTAACTTAACGGGCGCGGAATCATATTTTTAAATCAAAGTCTCAAGAAAAGTAGGGTGTGTTCTGACCTCTAATGAAGTCCATTTTGTTTCGTTAGCTAATAACTCTACTGTGTCAATTTCAAAACTTTTTAAACTCCCTTCTAAAATGGAAAACAAAACAGCTTAACGGGCCCGGTAATTACCGGGAGCTTCGAGAAACTGGCCCCTGGTCTTAGTCTGCAAGTAAGCTCTTCATTTGGAAAGCAACAAAGTCAAGTTTAAGTGGAATGATAAACATTATCTTGCTCAGTCTGAATATTTAAGAAATTGAAGATTAACAACGTTGACGGGATGATGGATGATAAATTTACCTCTCCTTCTGCAGAAAAGATAGAGTCAGCTTTCTTTGGGTCGAAATGCTTGATAATGAGAGTTTCAAGGTGGTTTTCTACCATCTGCTCAACATCAGGTACTTTGGCTCCTGTTCCAATAAACAGTTCAATGTGTTAGTTGGAAATACAGTTGGGCCAAACTAAAGTGGCTTTTTTTCACAGTCAGCATAGACTGAGGTGACCATGATGATCAGCAGATAGGAAAAGGTAACATCATTTTAATAAGCGAACTATTAATAAATTGTTGCAGTACAAATGAAGAAATTTGACTGTTCTTGGTTTCTAAACACCTGACAAGGTGGCCATGGTGGTGGTCAATAAACATTTGTTTGTAGAATTTAAATAAAAATTGAGTTTGGTTCCAAGAGGAAAGAAATGCTTTTGTTCTTGATCACCAACATGGACTCTTATGACGTCACATGAAAACCAGCAATAAATGTGATCAATAAGGAATTAATGTATCATTGAGGGAAAAATTAGATTGACATTGAGATAGCTCATGAATGGAGGCTCCTGATTTTTTTTATTTTCCTTTGTTTTTAGCTTGTTACATTAAACTTACCAAATTCAATGGACAAAAAGATAAAAATATTTGAACTGGAAACTTCTGCTTATAAGCTCCCCCCCAGTAATACATGTAGGTCCATCTATAAGTAAACAAAAAACATATCTGGCTATAAGCACCCGCCCTCCAGATATAGGCCCCCCCTGTCTATCTTGTATTGAAATGAAATGGGTTGTTATGCTGTTTTGAAGCTTAAAAAAGCAAGTAACTTCAAAGAGTATTGTGATCAGCACTGCTATGCAACTTGTTTTGAAACGCTTTTTTAGTCCAGTTATTAACCTCGCTGTTTATATAAAGCCTTCCTAAAACCTTTTACAAAGTTGTACAAGCCTAGGGCTTATAAGCAGAAGTTAACAGAATTTGTTATACACAAAAATGTTTGAAGCTTTGGCATAAAAAGTATGCAAGGCTACCTTCAAATATAATGATAATTTTATTTATCAAAAAGGGAAGAAAAAATAAAAAAGAATGCAATTTACCTGTTACAATCAACCAGTTGGCAAGGAGATTTGTACTTTGAGCTATTCCAGAATAATTCTCTGATAAAAGCTTCACCATTTCTTCAGGAATTCCTCCTGCGTGGTAATACCTGTATAAGGGGTTGATTGTTTCATAATATCAACAAAATTTACTTTGGAGATATACCTTATTATAGGAAATTAAGGCTCCATGAAATTAACGAGAATCGTTAAAATTCGTGTTAATTTAAGTCGCGTTAATTTTGTTGAGCGTTAATTTCTGTGATGTTAATTAAGTGCAGCATTAATTTCTGCGCTCTTAATTTCCAGTATTTTAACCCCAATTTTGGAACCTGTCCAGACATTCTTGACACCTAAAAAAAATTAACTACAAGTTTTCTTTCTTTCCATTTACCCTTTATTTTTCATCTTTCACAAAAGCTAAGGCGAAGGTTTACAATATTTCGAGTTCATCTTCATTGTTGTCGCTGTCAGAAGTAATGTCAGCTCAGTTTTGTTCAGTTCTGAATTTTTTTTGCATCCAGTGTTGAAATAAATTTGTTCCAGTTGTCACCACCAACTGTGTCTTAATCGCATTAATTTCCTTTATTATGAAACTCTACCTCCTCTTTCACATTAATTTTCTTTATTCAAAAGTCATTTTCCATTAAATTTGTGTTAATTTAAGTCGCATTAATTTCCAATACCTTAATTTCATGGAGCGTTAATTTCCTATAATAAGGTAGTGAATTATCCCTTTAGCCCCAAATATCCACATTTAAACTCTCCATACTGATCTTCATACATTTCTTTAAAGAATTAGTTGAGAGAGTTTGATAACAGATCAAAGCATTTTCTCTTTAGTGATCATTTTATTAATTCTCATAACCATTTCTCTCGGCAACATATGGATATTGTTAGGAGAAAATTGACAATGGTCGCTTTTGGGACTTAACAGGTTAAGATACTGAGACAAAGCAAGGGATTGCATTACAATGACCAAATTAACACAGTCAAACCCCCATAATACCGACACTTAGGGGAGCATAGAAAGTGTCCATATTAACTGGGTTGAATTTAGAGAAAATGCAAGGGCTTTCTTTCCCTAAGGATGAAGCAAACTGTCTGCACTAATAAGGTGTCTGAATCAAGCAGGTGTCCCTAAAGCTGAGTGTGACTGTACTGGACAGTCAGACTTGGTAAAAAAAAGGTATAGTAGTTTAGTGGTCTTGACAGCTGGATGGTCAGTATGGAATTTCAATGATTTAAAAACCAGACAGACAACAAAATACAGGTATACTATACACCACTGACCTTCTAATGTTGTTAAAAATATCTGGCTCCATGATAAAATCTTTTGCTGCAAAGTTCTGCATACACTCTTGTATAATAACTTCATTGTCTCTCCTTTCGTCCGATGGGCTTAACTAAAAGCAATAAACAAAGAGATTTCAGCTAACTATGATGCAATTTTCTTCAAAGGAATGCATGGTCAAATGAATTATTCATGAACTTAAGTCTTAAGCCTGGATTTCATATGCACGGAAAACCACAGACTATCGCAGAATGTTTCCCCAACATTCAAGATTTTGCTGACGTGACAAGAAAACCCAAGCGTTTGTCCCAGATGCCATGTGAATTTGTAAGAAGAAAGCCTTGAGTCATGCAGTTGGAGGATTGCAACTGCGCAAAAACAATAATCACCCATAGTTCTCACAAAATCCTACAATCCAGTCCGTCTAGTCTGGCTGTTTAATCCCGCCAGCCGGCCGGCCGACCAGCAATCCAGTCCATTCAGTCTGTCCAGTCTGTCAAGTCCAACGGTCCATCCATCCATCTGTCCATCTGTCCATCCATCTCTTCGTCCATCAGTTATATTTTATACACTTTTTTAAACTCATAGAGTAGTAATAAGTAATCAAAAATACTAACATGCTGCCAAAATGATATTCATGGGTAAGAGTTCAAAAAAATTTTGAGACTAACATTAAAAGACAACATTTACAAATCTTAATTCTGGCTGGTCCGTCCAGTCCTTCTGTCCATCCTTCCTTGCATCTGTTCTTTATATTTAATAACACTTTCTTAAACTCATAGAGTAGAAATAAGTAATCAAAAATCCATGCATCTGTCCATCCCGCTGTCTGTCTGTCCGTCCATCCCTTTTCCCTTATAAATTAAAATGGCATCCAGAAAAGACCATTAGATCTTTTTGACATGTTGATAAAATCCTGGAAGATGGGAAAACAGTGAAATTCTGATCGTGGAGGACTTTCCTGATATAGAAACTGACTAAGTGTGTAACTGTATCGCTTCTGCCGTCTGTAGTCCCTAGTTCCATAGTCAGTGAATTTGAAATTGACTAAGTGTTTAAACTCACTGCTACCTCTCGGTCTCTAGCCCTGAAGTAATTGACTGTGAATTTAGACAAGTTTTAACATAAACAGCTGAAAGTTTACTAGAATGGCTTCTATATTTTAACTTAGTGGCCATTCATATGGGATCTGTACACCGAATTGTATTTACTATTCATACCGGATTCTTTCTACAGACATAAATTTGTGGCCGTAGTTTATTTGTAAGCTTTCGCTCTGCTCAGCAAGTGTTCATGAAAGTATAAGTCTCTTCAATTTTTAAGGAAAAAATTCAGAGTAGCAAGAGAGGGACTCGAAACCAGAGCATAGGTCTTTAGTCTACCACCTAAACCACTAGACTACTGACTACTGTTCACTGCTGATGAAGGGTTAATTGATTTAAACCAAAATAGCAACAACCTGAACTCTAAGTCGAAGCTTACTGTTTCGAGTCTGTGTTTAACCCTAATCACTATGCTCATTTCTTAACCCTTATCACTATTCTCAGGGCTTTAACCCTAGTTATGGTCAGTGCTTAATCCGAATCACTATTGTAAGAACAATCCCATATGAATAGCAAATAGGTCCTGTACGTATATCCACTTGTATACCTGCCAACTTTTTCTGAGATATAAGTGTGAGATTTTTATCCTGGGAGTGCTGGGATTTTTGAAGACGACACGATCATTTCCGAAGATTCCCGAAGAAGTCCGAAGTCTTCCGAAGACATCCGAAGTCTGCCGAAAGCGGAAACAGCCCTCGCATTTCCCAGTCCCAGTCTTAGGATGCGTATAAACGCGAGCTCGCTCCCAGTGCTTTTCACTTCAAAAATCAGAGATCACGAGGAAGGTATTGTCATTTATTCATTTTACACATGGTTTTCGTACCTTAAATGGGTCTGAGTTAACATAGTTTTGGAAATTGTGTCAAGCAAGATGGCAACAACTCACATTTTTCAATCAGGCGTGAGAAATTGGCCCGCAAGCGTGAGCCGGCGTGAGATCAAAGTTTTCAACCCACAGGCGTGAGACTCACGCCTAAGGCGTGAGAGTTGGCAGGTATACACTTGGTTATTTTAAACTGGCTTTGTTGGGATTTTTGGATTACATAAGGTATACGTAGACTGAGTATGATTGACCAGGGTGAACGTAGTCCTAAATAGGACTGTTGTTGCTGACAGTGACAGTCAGCAACAACAATCCTATTCAGGACTAAGTTCACCCAGACAACCATACTCAGCCTAATTATGAAATAATGTATCGGTCAAATCGAAGCTTCAACATGCCCCCCCCGGGCATACCCCGGGCATTTGACACCTTTGCCGTCCCGGGGAGGAGGGAATTTGATTATCAGAGTCTTCCAGGGGGTGGGGAATTTGATCCCCATGCTTTAGGGGTGGGGAATTTGAACTGCGCCTTCGATTTCATGTAAAGTCTTTGGCGTGGGGAGCTATGATGGGGGACACGGTGTTAGAGGATTTTGGTGGAAAAGATTGTGCCTTTGTGGCCAGTTGGTTACGAGGAAAGGGTTTAAACAAGCTTTGTGCCGTTTTTGAAGTATTTGAATTTTAAATTTTTTAATATTGGATTCAGGCTTTGAATGTATGAATGTATGTTATTGTTGTGTTTACAATGAAATACAATACCTATACCAGCGATTCAATGCAACAACATAAAATAAAATAAAATAAAATAAAAAGCTCATGTCAACTACTTTGACCTACTGCAAGTATGTTAATTTATACCTATACGGTGAGCGATGGTGCATGTCAGTGAAATGGTCATGATGTAGTAATCTCAGTAGGTGGGATCTTTTTTTATGGAACGCTCTGTATGTTGCATGATGAAGAAAAGCTGAGCATTCAGTGACCTTGTAGCAGCGATTTCCACCGCTTTGCACCAGTTTTTTGTTCTTAGTAAATACGCTATCAGTGTTTCTCAGTTTTTGTTATATTTATAAAGATTCTGTTCGACATCTGAAGGCGTTTCCGCTGTCCTTCTGTCATTTTTGTGCTTGTGAAATGTCCCCGGGGTGGGGGCATTTGATCACCTGAATGGACCCTAAAGTGGGGCATTTGAATGGCATTGTGGCCCGGGTAGGGGGGAATTTGAACAATAATTTTCAAAAAAGTCAAATGCCCGGGGGGTTGCCCGGGGGGGGCATGTTGAAGCTTCGATTTGACCGATACATAATTCGTGGGTTCAGACATCTCACAGTTAAATGAGGTATATTAAATGTATAGTGTGCTCGTTTCGCTTCACTGCACTGCGGACCGCAGACCGCGGTAGCAGGAGTTGTTGGGGAATATTTCAGTGCCGGGTATTCTGAGGTTTAGCCTTTTTATGAAGAACAACAGGTAACAAAAGAGGAAATATGTTACAGAAAATTAACTCACGGCTGCTTCATCCCATCCAACATCTTCTCCATAATCATCCATCCTGACTAGAGCTCAAATAATAAATTATCGTGAATCAAGCTTTTTATAAAAGGACCTTTCAGTTGAAATTAAGGCGGAAAACCCTCCGAACTGTTTGCCGCCATGTTGAATTTCTGACAGCGGTCTTCTTTGTCAATGGACTTATCTTTGTGTGCATTCACACGAAAAAATCTCCCAGCTTGCCCTCAGAGCAGAACCCGCCATTTTTGTACGTCAACTGCATAGCCTAATTGCATAATTACACCCATCTTGACCAATCAGAAGCAAGCATTGCGTAAGATTCTGGACTTTGCTCGTTGAGTCCGGGCTTATGTAAAGTTTGCGTATTGGGCCTGTGTAACAGTTTTGTGGGAGTAGGTTTCGTAGTTCCTGAAAAGTTCACATCTGTTGTTTTGATAGAAAGTCTATTCTACAAAGATTGGGTGCAATTATGAAATTTTGGTCATCAGAGCATATTTTCAAGTAAGTATATAAGAGGTACAGTTTTATTTCAGCAGGTTTCATAGATATTCTCACGTGCTCTCTGAATATTCACGTGTCATATCGCTGTAAGCTTATGTATGAGCTAAACTGTTTAAGACTTTACGCTTTTCTATGTATCGGAAGCCTGAATCCCTGAATAAAGGTCCAGACGATCTGAAAGGGAGAGAACTCTGCGATTTACAATTTTCAGTTTTCAACTTTCCTTGTCTAAAATAGATTAAAGCTCTAATGAGCCCTACGTTTATAATCTGTAAAACTCGGGTTAAAACTTAGTCGATATCAATCTCAGGTCAGTGTGAAAAAGTTGAAAGGGAGGTATAGACCTTTCCCAAAACATTTTAAGGTTAAAAGAACTTATCATCCTTCTTTCCAAACCAGGGAATGATAAAGTGAGGCCAAGTTTAATACTCGCCCAAAATGCAAGTCGTTGATAGAGTTACGTAACGCCGTAGTAAGCACAGGTCTTACTTAAACCTTGTTCTGTTAGATCTTTCTTTAGTTTCCGGTCGATTTTGAAAACAGTCCTAAAGCTCGATTAACAATCTTCCCGGTGCTTTCAGCAAATTCCAAGGTGAATTTCTTGCACTTCCAAAGTTTTGCTCAAGTATTGTTTCAGTTTCCGTTGGCACAACTGTTATACCTGGGAGAAACTGGAAACAGTGGTTACTGAATGAAAAAATATGGGGAGGGGGCAAACAAGATATATTCGGTAACAATGTTTTTTCATAAACAAAGATAAAAGGATATTACATGACCACGCAGAGATACAAAATTTCTTTTCAAGTGTTTTCACTCATTTTAACAAAAGGAGAGAAATTTTTATATCTCCAAGGTAGCCTGTAAAGTTCTTTTATTATATACACACCATTGAAAAACCAGAGCATTTTACTTGAATAATTTTTTGTTGCAAAAGGTATGATTTATTATGTAACCATAGCATCAGTGGTCTTTCATGTGTGAATATACATCATGTTTTCATATGAAAGCCCACCTGGTTTTCATTGGTATTTATATAATAAGATGTTTTCTTCAGTATTGTTGGTTTTCACATGACATCACTAAAATTCAAACCACAAAATTATCAATCCTACTGAGACTTTACTTTCATTATGTATTAGAGCAACTGAGAACTAATTTTCATACAAATTTTTGCTTCAAAAGGGTTCTTGGTTTTGTGATAGAGTACGCTTGAATTTCTAAGCTATTGCATGACGTGGCATTTACATGAAGGCCGAGAGAGCTGTCATTTAGGATAAAAAAGTGACTTATTTTGGGGAATTTTGCCATCTAAACAGTTCATGTATTAGAAAAAGTATTACTTTAATGGTTATGAGTTCCTCGAGGAATAAATTCATGCTTTTGTACCAAAACTCGGTAACAGATGTGTTGTTAGTTTCCATCCGCCATGTTGGTGCCCATCCAGGTTAGAACCAGCATGGCGTCTCCATACAAATCTCTATAAATTTGGGTAAAACGTTTCTTCGGATATCTCGTATACGTAATATTCTTCTGGCCTGCATCTTGGCGAGGGTCTTTGTATATTTACCTCCTTTCATTTCCCAGATTCCAAACTTTATCTATTGAACAGTTTTGATTTTGATTTTGATCTTTTTTGAATGGCGTAACACTGAAAACCAGCAATACTGGTATAATCAACAATGAATTAGATCTTGAACGGAAAAGAATACTGTGCACTTGAGGTCAAACAAAACTGGTATTGGTTGCAACATGTACAGTCATAGCCAATCGGTTCTCACCGTTATATAGTCTTCATAAACCACAGCATTGCAGTTGCAAAACTTTGTTTTTCTTGCTACATTTTAGTCACTGTTGGGAGCGGGTCACACAAGCTGTTTGGAGAAAGTATCCTAATGATCTAAATCCAAATGTCAAAACCATGGATGTGCTTGATCGCCATGTGGATGAACATGGAAGACTTCATACTACAAGACTTGTTGGCACCGAAGGATTCCTGCCCTCATGGGTCTGTAGCATGATTGGAATTAACAATACTTGTTATGCCTATGAACATTCTGTTGTTGACCCAGAGAAGAAAACCATGATAATGGGGAGTCGGAATATGACTTTGTCAGGCTGGGTGGATGTGGAGGAAACACTGACTTATTCTCAGCACGAAGATGATGATAAGTGAGTAGTAAAAATGCTAAGACTGTGTTTAAATAATTGTTTTTTGTCCGACAATTTCCATAAGCGACCACTCAGTCTTTGCATTTTGGGTGGTCGCTTATGGGAGTTTTGACTGTATTAAACAACTGACCCTGGCCCTGGGTTTTTAATAGATGTTGTAGTTAATACTTTATCTCAGGTAATTTTTGTTTTTGAGTATGGTAATGTATGCTAATAAAGTTGAAACAAAAGAGAAATAATATTACCTGAGATAAAAAATTAACTACAACATATATATGCGTCTGTTTGGGGGAGAAATAGCACAGTCATGGAGAAGTGAAAGTGAAACAATATTTTGATGACTGTCTTAATGATAGAAACCATTAAATTATACCATTTCTAGTTCACTGTTATGGACACTTTACTCATATCTATGACCATGAATACAGTTCAACTGTCTCGTACCCCCAAGAAGTAGATAGTTTACGTGTTATGGCTCAATAATACCGATAACTTATTTGGGCAAACATGGTCCTAAAAACTTTTTTGTTGATAGTTAATCAGGGATGTCCCTAAGAGCCAGCAGCCGGCTAATTTCACCGGCTGAAATAGCCCAAACACCAGCCCTAGAAAACAAAGACATTGGGTAATTCTGAAAGTATAGTTGAGTAAAAAAGCTGCCTTGACCAACAAAAAATCCTGCTTGGCTTTTCCTTAGCTACATCCCTGGTTAATATTTATGTAAACTGGCTCTCTTTGGCTTCATTTCATTGGATATATGGAATAACATTCAAAAAAGGTTTTAGCTTGAATGAGGCAACAAGTGCCAATTAACGTGAAGACAAAAGAAGGTGGTTTAAGGAATCAGGATAAAAAGAGTGTTGTTAACTGACCCCTTCATCTTCCACTATTACTGTATTTTTTGTCGGAGTGCTACACAAGAGCTAGCTACAGTTGCCAAAACAGTTTTACACTACACTTTAAACATTATAAGTCAAATTGTTTTATTGATTTTACCTCAAGTATCCTTTAATATAAATGATGTTGAACCTTTGTGGTACAAATTATAATTTGAAAAAAAATTAAGGATCCAATGACAATTCCATGACATTATTTACAATTTTTTTTTCCAGGACCAGACTAACTCAGGATGCTGTAATAAAAGTATTTAGGATCAGCTTCAAAGATTACTGTGAAAGTCTTATTAGGTCCACAATGGCTAATAATGCATCAAAGGTAAAAAGCTAAATGGTTCCATTGTTCACCTATAAACTCCTGAGAATGCAAAGGAAGTCCCTTTACAGTTTTTACGGAAACTTAAGGAAAGATGTAGCTAGCATGTACTAGCCTAATAGTCATTTTAACTAGACTGAAAAACAAAAATGTTACTTTGTGAATGAATTACACCTGTCCATTAGTTAATTAATAACTTGCTTCATCAATGCATTGCACAAATAATATTAATGTAATAATTTCACTTTGAGACCTTTAGAGGCTAGAATTTATTTTTCCAAAAATTACAAAAGTGAAATCGTATGATAAGAATCTTGCTTGTGATGTTTGTTTGCAGGGCAGACAAGCAATGGAAATGGTGATTTCCAAAATCAACAGAGAGGTTCAAGATTTGGCTTCTAATATTGAACAAGCTACAAGTAGACTGAACTCTGAATTGGAACATGCAACAAGCATATTGAACACGGAATTTGAACAGGCCAAACAGGGACTTGAACAGGCTAGTTTGTTTCCACAAGCCTTTTGTGAAGGTTCCTCATCAAAGCCTTCAAGCTGATGTTAGTTTTTCAATAGACATGTATTAAATGTTTGATGGTTGTTCAATTCTAGAGGGACATAGTGATGTTCCTAGGACAGTGTCAAGCACATTCAAGTTGTTTACTGATGTGAGATGCAAGATTTGACTGAGTTGTTAAGATTTGTCAAGTCCTTCAAGGTTTATTACGGGTATCCTTCTAAAGGTATACGTTACAATGGAATGTGTCAGGACTGCACTAGTCTTGTGCTATTTGCTGATGTGATGTGCAAGCTGCAAGGGAATGCATCACATGTAACTAAGCATTTAAAGGATAATTTTTATCAGCAGCCTTCTGAAGGCCTGCATTTACCAAGGAGTAACCTGACATCAAATAGAAGACATAATCAAAGTCATGGACTTATACAAGTTACGAAAGCTGCAATGATGGATTAGTTGTACGTTGTAAAGTGGTCTCCATCAAGATTGCCAGACATAACTAAACAGGGTGCAGGGAATAAGCTCCCAAGTCATTCCCGATCAAACGTCAAATTATGCATTATTATTATTCACAGGGTTTCCCTTTTCAGCCTGCAACCAGTGACATTCGCTGCTTCTGAAGAGGCCCATTGCTGGTAACTAAGCAACGCCTTGCTGTCTTTGGCACTCAAATGCACAAAGATTGTCTTCGCCTGCTAAAGGAAATTCACCTGCTGCTTGGTTTGAAAAGGAAAACCCTGTATTCACAATCATACAAGGCCAATTTGAAGGAGAGTCAAGCAATTAATCAGATTAAAGAGTCACTTGGGATCTTTGCCTCATTACTTCCCCCCCCCCCCCTACCCCAAATGATAGAGACAGGACTCCTCAGGAAAATCCTGATACAAGGCACTCTTATTTATCACAAAATGCATTTTCAAGGTGTCAATGTAGAGAACATTATTTATTTATTTTAACTGGACCAATGTGAAGGTGCTATAACTTAACATTGCTTTTCTCTTGCTTAATATGCATATGGCATAGATCACGCTATAATTGAATTAAAAAGTATCTTTAAATTTTTACTGTATCTTTATACATGTACAGGTCTGTTACTGATTAAAAGCAAGAATTTTGTAACTGTTTATGCTTGGTTGTCATGTTTGTTTTGAAGACGAACAGCATAAATTAAAATTTTACTGTTAATTTCTACGGTCAGTTGTGTCTGCCATTAGGTTTGTAAATAAATAAACCTCTGTTAGAATGTAGCCTGCAGAGTGGCTTTTGTGAAATATGCGACCATGATGGAACTATAGCCAGAAAAGCCATTCTAGTCTCCTTTGCAGCAAGGCCACTCAGGCCCGAGTCACTCAATGCTTTCTGTTTTGTGACTCCAGGAGGTCTTGGAGAGTATTTTGGCTCACGATGAGCACTGTAAGGGAAAGTTCATTTAATATGACAAGGGGGGGGGATGAAGATATTGAGGGGGGACTCCGAAAATTTTTAGACACCCGAAGGGGGCTCTGAAAAAAAAATTGTTGCGCTAGGAGGGGAGGCTCGAAAATTTGTATACTTCAAAACCAACACATGACATCATCATACAGATCGGATGGTTTTCAACTCAACAATTTAATGACCTGTGCAACTCAGCTATATCACGTGGTTTACAGATATAACAAATGTAGTCTCAGTAATTATTACACTCTTGTTCATCCCAAAAATGCTTTAGAAAATTGTATCACAACTGTATCTCAAGTTTGTCATAGTATAAACCATTGAAGACAATAACGGTAAATATATTTAATACAGTCTAGCGATCTTTTTTCAGGGGAGCAAAGGAATTGAAGGAGGGGGGGGGCTCTGAAATTTTTTCGACTACCAAGGAGGGGGCTCCTAAAAAATTGAACCGCTAGCGAGGGGGGCTGCTAAAATTTCAAGCTTCGAGTTTCAATATCTTCATCCCCCCCCCTTGTCATATTAAATGAACTTTCCCTAATCAATGATTAATAGGTTAATGTTATTTGTAAATTACAACTGCAATACGTTCAGGTTTTATTAGTTTCCTTCCACTATCATCAGTAAAGGACTGCTCCTCCAAAAAATTCATCACTTCTTTACACAACATTTTATCCACTGTGCCTCTAAAATCTTGGCAGTGGGTTAAGAAGTCCAGGAGAAGACCCCCTGCTGTAGACGAGTGATCAAAACAGCTGGTTATATCTACATCAGTGCTGCATTTCTTTAATTCTTTATAGTTCCAGTTGTTCCTCTTAGAAATGCTCTCAAGATCCACTTCGGTGTAAAACTTGTTAGTCGAACCCAAGTTGATTTTACCTTTCAATTTTCTTGCCAACTTTGGGAAGAAAGACTCTTCGGGAACTAAAGTACAGAAGATGGCTCCACCTGAGGCAAGTCTCGCGTAACAGTTTCTTAGAGCTTGTTCAGCATCCATATAGTACAGCGATGCCACGAAATGAATGAGGTCAAAGTGTTGGACCTGAGGGCTAGACTCCATGAATTTTTCTAAGATCATCTCATGCCACTCGAAGGTAGCCTTTCCCTCGAGTGTCTTGGGAAACGGTGAAACACGCGATCTGAATCTCGCCATTAATTCAACATCAGGCTCTATAATGGTGGCGTGTATCTTAGAACATCCTATCGCCGATAAAACGACATCCAGAATTCTTAAATCAATTCTCCCATCACCACTACCAACTCCAAGAACACGAAACAACGGGGGAGCATTCCGGCCACTTTTGAACATATTTGTCATGACGTGGGCTGCCATCTCGTCAACATAGTCAAACATCTTTTCGACTGCTTTCAAGGAAATCGAACTTTGAAATGCTTCCATTGTAGCTAAGTAGTGGCCTTCTTTTGCGAGAATCGCGGCCATTTTTCACTGGACAGTGGGTTTTTAGATTGAAACATACGAAGGTTAGTGTTAAGCAACACCGCGGCAAAACGTCTACGCATGCGCTAGGTTGAGCATTTCCGGTCTCTTTTTCAGTCACACTTTCCAGTCAGATCAAAGTCTCCCGCGCGCTCTCGGCTTCATTCCGTGTGCAGCTTGTGGTTCAGTTGTTCTGCTTCATGCTGCTCGTGTTTTTGACTATTTTGTAGTTATTGAAATTGCTTTTATGGATAACCAGGCACAGATCACTGAAACAAAAGTCGATTAGATTCAGAGAAGGTAAGATGATAATAACTCAGTGTGTAATTTTGGCTAGAGCGTCAGGTAAACTGATTTTCATTCACGAAAACAAAGTTTTTGACTATTATTTTTCACTTAACCTGGCTGAAACTAAGATATAAAAAGTTATCATTGCAAGCTTGTGTATTGTAGTTCTAATTTTTATGTTCTTCAATTCCTCAGTCTTCATGTCTTAAAGCCGATTCGAGCTTTATTTGGAAAACGACAACACACAATCGCTTTGTAGTTTTATTTACCAGGTGTTTTGAAACGAAACTCTTCTGAGTTGATTGCCTTGAAACATAAGCTTAATTATACTGTTGAGGTTGGCAGCAAGTTGACCACTCTATTTATTTTTTTCATTCTCAGAATCAGAGAGCGAAAGCTGGTTCGATGGCTGTGCTTTTAGAAGTCGAACTTTTCATGTCATGTATGGGCGTCGATAAAACCCGGAACATGGAACATCCCGGAACATTCCGGAACATTCCGGAACATCCCGGAACATCCCGGAACATGAAATTAAAATATTTTTTATGAAAAAATAAATAATTAATTAAATAATAATATTAGTATTATTAATAATAAATAATAAAAAGAACAATAGATAGAAAACAATTTTTGCAAAAATTTCTAATAACAAAATAAATAACATAACATAAAAAAGAAAAATAAAGAAACAAAGAAACAAAGAAAGAAAAAGAAACTGGTATCATCTCCGAGTATGGGAAAACAATATTTTGTCGCAATGAATTTTTTGGCGAGTGAGGCTCCATTCAAATGACAGTAATAAGTGAAGGTTTGCTTCTAAATTCAAAATATATTAAAATGGGTCGCGAGGAGAGGGTTTTCAAGCTTTCGTCACACAGCCACCTCTTGTTAATGTTTGCCATGCGGTTTAACGGTTATCCATTTACGGCTTTGCGACCGTAAGAAGAGCTTAGGGGCTCGTCGCTTTGGACTTCGCGACCCATTTTAATATATTTTGAATTTAGAAGGAAGCCTTCACTCATTACTGTCATTTGCATGAACCCTCACTCGCCCAACAAATTTTAATTTGTTGCGAAAAAATATTGTTGTCTCATACTCAGAGAGGATACCAGTTTCTTTTTCTTGATTATTTCATTGTTTTTCGTTTTTTCTTTTGTTATTTTATGTTATTAATAATTTTTACAAAAATTATTTTGTTATTATTATTTTATTATATATTTTTTTTATGAAAATTATTTTTATTTTTCCATGTTCCGGGATGTTCCGGAATGTTCCGTGTTTTATCGACAGCCGTCATGTATTCAGCAGCAGGAAGTTTCGTGTTTGCATGAGATGCAGCCGAGTCTCACAGTATGAAATTATTGAAGTCTTCAACCAAAGAACAACCATGTAAAAGAATTGAATAGGCATTTTCTTGAATGAAAGTCATTTATAGGCATGTTTAGTTTCCCGGCACCGAAAACTCCGGGTGCTCGTGACTGCAGTCATCAGTCAGAGTTGTTATTAAATCCCGCTCATCTTATGTTTTGAGTTCTTGGTTTCTCTGATAATAAAAAAATTATTAAAATTATTTCCTGGTTTTAGTGTTGATGATAATGATGACGTCTTTATTTTGGTTTCTTTCATAAGTATTGTTATTCTTTTCTTAGTTATCGCCTTCTCCCAAATTATCTTATGCGAATTTTTTTTTTCTATTGTTTTTATTTGTTGCGCTATATCATTTAATGCTTGATAAGTTTTAAGGCTCGGAAATTCTGTATGGGATGCCAGTTTGGGGTCAGTAGGCTCCTGTTGGGGGTTAATTTTTGGTCCATGGATTTTTTTGGGCATTATTGAAGGTCCTAGGGATTTTTTTTGGTTTTGATTTTTGCCCCAATTCAATCATCCCCGTCACTAGGAATCCGGAGTACCCCCCCCCCCACCGGCCCCACACCCCCGGGATGCAACGTGGGTTCAATATATATTCCCATACATCAAATACGTACTCTGCTAGGGACATATTAAATTCTGCAAGCAGAATACTGCAATGCTGATCGTACTACGTGAAAATTAACTCTGCAAGACATCAACACGACACCGAAAGAACTCAAAACAGAGCGGGATTGTAGGCATAGACAGCTGTTTCGCCCTCGTTTTGTCTGCTAGGGACACCGCTGGCTGGTTAATAGAACACCGAAAACTCACCCTCCCTCTACGCCCGTGGAAAATTGTCTCCGTTTTCTCTGAATGGTTCACGTCCACTACCAGCATTTGCAGGCTGTTTTCCGGAGTTGAATGATCTATATTAGGTGTTACGTTCAACAAGTGTGTTCTTTAAGGTATCGAGGCATTTCTGCGATGAAAGTCAAGCTTATGGTAGCCTTTAAAAGGACAGTCTTTCCTTTCGTCAGGGGCACCCAACGAGAATGTAGTTCAAAACCTCTTAAACATAGCATTGTTAAACGTAATTTAGCATTTAAACGGTAGATATAGGCATATTTTTATCCCCTAAAAATTTTTCATCTGTTCGGATTTCCTAGCTGAAAGTCTAGTGATCCGAAAATTATAGGGATCAAAACTTACTTTTTCGAAAATTTCAGCCAGAAAAAAGGTTCCCGAAAATTCTAGGTGAGCTTTTTAGGGTACAAATCCGTTAAAAATGGGCAATTATACCGTATTTTAGATGTTCGAAAATCCTAGGAGAGGCAGGCAAGCAAGAAATTTTACAACAAATGATCTGAAAATTATAGATATCAAATCGTCTTCCGAAAAGATATTCTCCGAAAATTGTAGTTGGGTGCCCCTGTTTCGTAAAAAAGTACATCGAAGACAAGATGGCGGCTGAATGTTGTTAAGACCTATCATTTCGCGCACATTTTTTGAGCAGCAGGAAAAGGTCAGTGTGATAATTTTTCGTTAAACAATTATTCTATTGATATTTAATTCTTCTCAACAGTACAACGCTAAACTCGAACTTAATCGTTTCAGGAATACAGTGATTAATTAAGGGTCCATTTTGTCGTGAAACTGCATTTTCACCCTTTCGCTGGCTTGTTTATCTCGAAATCTTGCCGTTCTCCCCACATTAAGTTAATGGTTAATGAATCTAATAATACTTCCGCGAATGAATGGTGGTT